ACATGATGTAACATGTGTTTACTTTAGATGTCGTGCTTAGCTATATATATATATTTATTTGTAGTCAGAGCTCCACTGATATGTACCTGAAAATGAAGACGATTACCCTACCTACAACATGACCTACCTGAGGGTGTGCCATGGTCACTATGGTCAGTATGCAGATTCATTTTGGTGTCAATCCCTTTGAAAAGTCGGGCATTCAACCCAACAGTTGCTCGACAGAGGAGGGGACCCGGTGGCATACCTTATCCTGCCGGGTACATGCCCTCTCCTCTCTCTGCCGCTGTCCATCACCAAGATGGCCACCAGCAGGTAGGTAACACTAGTTCTCATCATGTATGTATAAATATAACATTTTATAGAACTGAGAAAATAAAGAACTGAGTGTTGCAGTATTTTCAAGCACACCGTTGCCTTCTCGGCCAGTTATTAAACAAGATAGATACTTCCGACCATCCCTTTGCAACCTCTTTTGCCTACGATGTCACCTAAAAGAGAGCAACAGGCCACAAAGCTGACCTCAGTCACAGAGGACAATCTCTCTGCCTGACTTTACGTATATTTTTAATAAAGTTATTACAAACTGGTTCACATAGTATAATTTTTTTTAACCTTTCACCTAGCTGCCTTGCTTGGTAACATACTAGTATAGAACCTCTACTGTGTCTTGTATATCATGAGCCATAAATACCAACGTTTTCATCTTCCCAACCTGACGTGCAGCTGTCACATGATTTACAGCACTGGCCCTTGGGACATGAGGGCAATTATTAGAATGTCAGTCGGTCCAGGTTTTCACCCATATGCCTTATGCATTGCCACTATAAACCAGTATCATGTATGTAGTACTAGTTCAGAGTAATGGAAGAGGATTGAGAACGGTGGGCTAAAACCACTTAAACAATTGGTTCATCAAAAAAAGCACATAAGTACATGATAGTTTTTTGATTCAACTACCTTTTTTTTAAATTATCTTATGGAGACTCTAGTGGTGAAATCCCTGCGCCTGAGTTCCCAGCTCTGCCCACATGCTGCAGTTGTGGTAAGGGATCTTGATCTCCCTGTTTTATTCCTAACATATTATTATAATAATAACTGATATTGATTTATGGACAATGCAGCATTGACATAAATGTTGGCCATACATATTTTGATCTGCTTGTTCAACAACCAGTTGTTTGTGTTGAAGTTCAGAATTTTGCAATTATCAATAATTTTTCACGACCATTTTTAAGGTTTTAGACTGATATTGTCCACTTAAAGATTTCCGACAGAATGCATCCAGTGGTAAGCATCTATCCTGAACTCCAGGTAATCGTTCCATGTACCATTACATAAGGACAGCCATGGACATACAGGCATCTGTATGAACTCACATAGGATTCCTGCTGCAAGATGTGGAGCAAATTGCTTGACTCCTCAATTATTTATTTCAGTTTTGGTTTACTTTTTCCAATAAACTGTAGAAAATGAAAGCTGGTGGACTGATGGAAGCAAAATGACCTAACGTGTTGCATCAAATGGTTATTTCAGGTATTGGAGCTATTAAAATGATAAGATTGAATGGTTGGTTGGATCAACGTGGGTACAACCAGCGGAGGGCTGCAGCAGCTTAAGGAATAGGACCAGGTGGGAGTGGCAGTGATAGGAGCTAGATTACTGAATTGCCAGGACACCAATGAGGTCATTGTATGGGTTAACATACCAGACTTAACACATTACTGGAACTAGTCAACCCAAGAAGGATCGGATGGATTAATTCCTTTCTTAAAGAGCCATGCCAACCAAGACCCAATAGATGGAGGGTTGTGGAATCACATTCATAACAGCTTCCTTTCCCTTTCTCTGAATCCCAAAAAGCAACGCTGAGCATGCAGTACATAATGGAGTCTAAATGATATCATTGGTAACATAATAATGGCATTGCATTCTTATAGAATCCTTCTTGTTCCAGTCAGAGGAACTCAGCAGGAACTTAGGACAGAAGGAAGCGCAGAGCTTGTCCCCTGCACCTTCCTACTGTTTGATCTTGTCTGAGCTGTGATAGCCACTAACCATTCCCCTACATGTGCCAATACAGCAGTACAGACGCGGGGGTAGAAATGAATCAATCTTGATCTTGTCCACATAAGCCACAAACCTCACATTTTACTAGGAAAAGAGAAACATAAAAACCAACAACAGCATTTAGCAATAAATAATATTCCCCTAGTGTGAGACAAAAAGAAAACTTTTCCTGAGAGAGACCTGGAGCCTGCCTGACCTCTCATTCTGAAAATGCTAGTTGTTTGGCTATCACTGACCCAAAACAAGGACTTCTGCCATTACTTTGACTCTTCTGATCTGCACACTTGTTGCAGGTAGGTCAACATAACAGCCAGGCAACCGGCATTCTCCAAAGGGGGTCAGTAATGGCAGCCTCTGTATTTCTTTTAGGAAAGGCTTGCATTAAATATCACTCTTGCAGTTTAGCCCTATGAAAGGAAACATGCGTACCATTAAAAACATTTTTTGATTGCATTTGATATAATGAAATAATGGAAAGGTTTCCGCACAAATTAGATTATATAAAAAAAGGCATAGTAAAGGATTTAATGAGCATCTATGACATTTGTGTCTTTCATAATATTATACACTACACTCACTTGCATTTTAAAAAACTTGAACCCATTGTGCCCAACGGTCCTTTGTTTCGAGGGACTGTCCCCTTTTTTTGGAACCAAATCCCTCTGCCCCCCTTTCTTCCTCATTTATCCCTCTTTTTGGTCACCAGCCTCTAACTGTTGGCATTTGTTATTTTGAAAAATCCTGAATAAAGGAAAAGCAATAGTGAAAAAAAGCACTTGTGGGATTAACCAATCACTTTTTGCTTAATCATTCGTTATGGTGTGTGTATATGGGAGGGGGTGGGGCATCAGGGGTGTGTCCTTTGCCGGCATACTTTGTGCTATAATGCATCACTCTTTCCCCTATCAAAAAGTTGGGAGACTAGGAAACCCATGGGCCTTGTTCACACAGGTTGCAAAGGGGCGGTAGTAAAAACAGGCGATGGTTTGCATTTTTACACACACCCCCGACCTCCCATCTTTAACTTAACATGGTGGGTCTCTATGCTTTGTGGTGGCAGCTCATTTTACACAGCATGTCACTTTATGGCAGGCATTGCTGCTTGCCTGATGTGACCATTGCAACCAAAGGGAGTATGGACCATGGCTTGGTATTGCAGTGTCAAATTCCCCCTTGGGATTGGAAAAAAAAAAAAACTCCTGAAAGCCTGCAAACTGTGCTCAAAAAAAGTGATCCACCATGCATTGTTTTTCAGAGGACAATAAAAGTCAGCCACTTGTGTAAACGTGACTATAGTGCAAAAAATAAAGACCTAGAATACAAAACTATTCCCTATACAGCTACCGGGAAACGGAACACACACTTCAAACATCACAGAATAGCTCAAATGGATCCCGCAATGAAAAAGTTATTACAATCAATTTTAAAACAATTTTTGATATTTAATTTTCGATGAATCTACATCAGAACCAAGTGAGCTTTGTTAGGGAATTACATAGCTTGCTTCCTCTGGGTCTATTAGTTCCATGACCACTAATCCTACATTAAGCAGATTATCTGCAGAGAAATGTAAGATTTCCTCGGATGATAATGTGCCGATGTACAGGCCGTTTCCGAATACCATCGCATATCTACTCAAACAGCTGGTATGAACGATCATACCAGGCGCCCATCAGCACCTATCTATGGCTTTGATATGATGCTACTATCTTACCCTGCATATCCCAATTCACCACCCACTCAGAATGCCATATGTTAGAATTGTCCATCACCCTACATGGTCAATGGAGTCACAAATGGCCTTCTACAGCCAGCAAGTGTCAAGTGGCCTGCTCTGCTGTATCATCAGCATTACAAGCTCAAAGTAGAACTTAATGGGGCACTAAATTCAGGAGTTAAATCTTAAAAATGCATTCAAGTACCTTAACTATTAACAGTATGTAATGTATTGGTGCATCACTCAGCTGTAGATCCTCAAATCATCTCTGAAATGGTGCTGACACTGTGCTTCCTTCTGCAGGGTGCATACTTTTGTTCCCCATGGTCCCTGTGTGTGTTGTAAAGTAGCCACGACTCCATGCTCACTCCTGTGATGGACAACAATCTCATGTTTAGTTTACTAATTTCTACTGAGATTGTAGTCCACCACAGGTGTGGGCTTGGAGCGGTGACTACTTTACAACACACACAGGGACCATGGGGAAAAAAGGTAGCCACCCTCCAGAAGGAAGGACAGTGTCAGCAGCAATTCAGAGATGATTTGAGGATCTACAGCTGAGTGATACACAAATAAAATACATTTCTGTTAATAGTTAAGGTACTTGAATGCATTTTTAAGGTCAAACTCCTGAGTTTAGTGTCTAAATTTAAACATTTGCAAGATTTTTATTTTATTTTTATAATAGCAGAAGAGAAATACTTTGCTTCTTCTGCAAATAAAGGATTTAAATAAAAAGAGCTGTGCTCATCTGTTTCTAACTTTGATTCGGCTCTTCAATAGATGCTTAGTAACAAATGCACCCCATCCATCCTACGCACTCTATGTCCTAACTCTTCCCTTACCCTTAGACCATTTATCTAATCCTAGTAGCTAATCCCTGAGAAGATAGGAATATAAAATGATGCTTATAATAACACATTAATTCTACAGCCCTCAATGTACACATATACGTGTCAAATAGCTGAGGCTGGCACAGCTGCTGTAATGAAATACGCAGGAATGTGACAGTCCATTAAATATAATCTGATTTCTCTAACCCAGCCCTGGGATATCTATCCGCACCATGCCCCAATGTCATTTGAAGGTGACTCATCAAAGTCCACTATGAGTGCCCATCCCGAAATGTCCCAGGTAGTTTAATTCCACGGTCGATATTTCTGAATGTCCTCTTCGTAAATTACACAGACACTTCCCCGCTTGTCCCATGTACCTGTTTTCTTTGCAGGCTCGGGCATCCTTGCTCAGCCTGGACACAACCACCCAGAAAGAGGTCAATGAGCTAAGCAGTACCACTCTAGTCCGTAGCACAGGCTGGAATGAGCCTACTGAGATTTACAGACCCCCTTTAAAAAAGTGAGATAGAGAGAAACCCAATGTGCTCCACCCCTCCCTCGCTCACTCCTGTTGTCACACAGTCCTGTCACCTTCTCAGCAGCAGACCTCACTTGACAGGATATATCAGCTGGGATATATATAGCCAAGCTGCCAGTGCCTTGAAGTTTGCCCTCTGGTCCCCCCCCACCAAATGGTTTTGTGCTGTCTAGAGTGCTTCTGGCCTACATGAGGACCACTGTCCTGGCCAAGGCTGGCATGATGGGTTTCACATCAGCACTTAGGTTAGGTTTATAACGCTCATAAATTCCTGGCACCGTTCTCATTCACGCTGGTCACCAGCGTGTCCTCGTCACTTGCCCACTCAAACAGCCGCGCTGATAGCCCCTGTCATTTTGCTGCTGACATTATGTACACACGGAACACGTACCCAACGTATATAGACATTACAGGAGAGTGTTAACCGACATCAAACGTTTTATCAGGATAGACAGGCAGGAAACAAACATTTTTATGTCCATTTACATACAGTGCAAGGAAAAGTTAATGTAGAATATTTGACAAAGGCAAGACTTGTACGGTTCCTGCAGACTCTTCCTCCCGCTCATGTCCATACCTTGGACATTCAGTAACATGCACAGGAGGAAGAATGAATGGACTACAAGTGAGGTGACCAGGGCTGTCCCTATAATGAGGCAGCAACAGCAGCATCCTAAGGCGGCATCTCAATGGGGGTCAGCCAGGTGGTGGGGGGCCGCATGGGGGCAGCCACAGCATCCCAGGTTGCTAAGAGCTTTTAGCAACCTGTGCCGCTCTGTTTGGCTTCCTGTCCAGTTCACTGACATCACCAGTTACCAAGAGCTGAGGGAGATGCTGTGGCTTGTGTCTCGTCTATCTCCTGGCAACTAGTGACGTCAGTGAGCTGGGTGGCATGCCAGAAAGAGCCTCTGACAGCGCGGTGCTGCGCCCTATGCCACCGCCATGCCAAAGCAAATATTGTCTAAATACAAGAATCATGTGTATTCTTCCTAGAATCCTGGTGACCTTTGTGCATTTTTTCCAGGTCCACACAGTAATCCAGTGCTCCACTACGGTGTTGTGATCAAAAATCCATAATTTTAAGTTGTCGCCAGAATAGTTTTAAAGGGTAAATCTTTCAATGGGGACACGTGCTGTGGTGACAACTGTCTACAAGGGGAATTCCCCTCACTTTGAAGAGGTTTCTACTCACTTTTGGTTCTGTCTATTGGCCAGAGTCATGAAAATTTTGACCCAGAATGGGAATGGGACAAAGACGGTAACAAAACTGAACAAATAAACTGGGACTAGTGTGTGTGTGAGTATGGTAGAGATCAGAGGTGTGGGTTGATCCTGGCACCCAGTAATTGGTGCTATTGCCCCAGGAATGGCCCTCTAGATCCTTGGTTCTCAACTGGTGGGTCATGACCCAAAAGTGGGCCGCGACCCCCTGTTCAATGGGTTGCTGCATGCCTTCCACTTTTCTAGATGAGAGGCTTCCCAGCCTCCCCCTAGTGCAGCACTGTCAGTTCTCATGCTGAGTAGCCATTCAGAATATGCTGCTTGGCACTGGGTGTCAGCTTGAGGTGGGGTGGTCTGGAGCTATGGCCGTGAGGGAGCTCCATCCAATATGTGCATTGCTTACAGATCCCTCGCATGTCCTGTAGAGGTGCCTGGACCAGAGTGATGTCGCGTTCTGGTATGGGAGGTGCGTTGCGATGCCATTCATTTAAATGGCACCCCAAATGCACCTCCTGCCCACAGTTCAATTGCCTGCACCGGAACGCACGGTGCCACAATGCTGTGTGTTCCATTGGAGTGTGACTTGGGTCGTGACTTAATGACCAAGGACAAAGGTGGGTCCTGAGGTTACACAGGTTGAGAACCACTGCTCTAGATGAACACATAGATTATATTAAGCCAGTTCTCATCCAAAGAAGATTTTTTGACACCAGTAGAAGATATACCCAAGTATTAGCTGACTACAAGTATGCAGCTTAATTAAGGTGCACGTGATAAGGTGTGGTGAAAACCATGGCATTGTAAGGAACTTTTGGGGGGTTATTTGTGAGTCTGGGTTCTTTAGTTTGGCATCTCAATCAAAAATGGTCCAGAAAATTAAAAGCAGGGGAGTGCAGAAGAAAAGGGAGAATAGTCTAAGCAGAGGAAAAGCAAAAAGGAGAAAGAAGAAATTATACGGGGGACAAGAATATAGACTCACCCTCTTTGCATGGTATGCTAGGAGGGTCACAACATTAGAAGTCCCAAAACATTTCAATATAAATACACAGGGGTGCCCTGGGTGTATTGGAAATGCGCGGTAGAAACATAAAGAGGACCTTGCACTTAAAGGCCTCCCTCTCCAATATATAATTGCAATATAAAAGTGGTTAAAAAAGATTACTCATGGGAAAGAAGTTAGAAAATATCTAACCATACCCCCAACTTCACTGGAGAGGGTGCAGTCACAATCCAACGAGATCCTGGATACACTAAGTATCTCAAACCTTGCAAGAAGACGTTCCACCACGGTGTTGATGCATCTTTTCATAGTCAAAATTTGAGAAAATATAATAACCATTCACCCCAACTTGTGCACTGGAGAGGGTACAGTCACAATCCAATGAGATTCTCCAAACGCTAAGTATCCAAAACCTTGTAAGAAGATGCTTCACCATGGTGTAGAACAATTTTCTCATTTGGGTTCCTCATTGTTCCCATGATCTCGTCGGGAGAATTTCGACTTCACCCTTGCCTAGTATGTACATCTTCTTTGGATTTTGGAAAACCAGAGTGATATAGCAGGGAAGGCTATTTGTTTCCATAGGGCTGGTATACATGTTGTGGTTGCATTTAATACGTTTTTTACAGTTACGGATTTTTGGTATTTGGAGATTGGAATGTCATTTATATGTAGGAGGAATGGTGCTGGACTCTACCCTGAGGTACAGGAAGTAATGTGGTGAATTACATCCTTCACTGTCCTCTAGAAGAACCGACTGCAGAGGCACCCCCAAAAGATGTGTACCATGGTCCCGAGTGCCGCCTCACATCTCCAGCAAGTATCTGGTATGCATTTGTTAAATACGTGTGGTAAAGAAGGAACTATGCAGTGCAAAAGTATCTTCTATTCCTGTTCTTGGAGTTCATTTGTGATGGAGGATTTATGAGTGAGTAGGATAAGCCTTACAATCTGTTCAGAGTTAAATTTCATCCCCAGTAAGGACCCGCATCTCTCAAGGTATGGCGGAGTCTGGTCTGTTTGAGGGGTAATTAGGAATTTATAAATTAAATATAAAGAATGTTTGATGGGAAGTTGGAAATTGCATATGGCCTCATAGAGTAGCTAGTGCAATTCCATATGCAATTCCATAGAGTAGCTAGCCAAACGTAGAGTGGAACAAGAGAAATCACTTGATCTCCCATCCACACTAAACAGTCTGGATGGAGGAATCTATTCTGCCAGTGTCGTACCTATAATAAGGCAGCCTGAGGCAGTTGCCTCAGACGACATCCCATTGGGTAACTGGGGGAGTAGTGGCCTGTACCTTCAGAAAAAAACCTCTTGACCATCAGCACTAAACAGCATGAATAGGGAAGTCGAGTATTTTCCTTGTCTACCTGGGCTATTGTATTCTGACAACAATGGGTGTGAATACCCGAATAGTGACTGAAGCTGATTGGCTACAATCCCTGTTCAGACAAGAATTTCTGGACTGACTCCGAATGAAAAAAATCAGCTTATGTCAAAAGGAGGGGTGCTAACGGTGCCACACTCTGCTCGAAGTATGGGCAGCTTCAAGGAGAACTATGAGGTGAGTGCTTTTCACTCACCTCAATTGTCACAATTGTCGGGATCCGCGTCAGCTGCGGCGTCTCAGTATACCGCGAGCCTAGGGTGACAGGAGGGTGACAGGAGGACGCTAGTTTGTGTCCTCCCGTTACCCTAAGGAGAACTATGGGGAAAAGACTTAACCCCATAGTTCTCCTTTAAGGCGAATATTCGTCAATAGCGGGGCCACTTTATGGAGTCAGTGGCTAAAGCTGGCTGTACACTGGTAGACTTTCATACAAACATTCATATAGAAAATCACATCAGAACATTCGATAATGCCATCAGAGACTGGACAAAAGCCCTTCAAAATCTCATTGGATTCTAATGTAGCGATAACTCCCTGAGGAGCTGCTTGTGACGGACCCCCGTACTCAGGATGAGTATGTCCGCCGCTATCTTCTTCCTTGCTGAGGCGATATTGCAACCTGAAGATCCTTAGCTCCCAGTTTCCCCAGTCACTAGTCGGGACACGAGTGTAGGTGAAACAAACTCTGGTTTATAGAGAAACTGCACAAACCTTTATACAGCAAGTGATGAGATCAGATTATAATCCCATCACATCCACCCTCCCCTCCCAGACAATCGGTCTGCTCAACACCACAGGGTTTCCCCTGCTAACGAGCTCCAGACAGCCATAGCAGCAGCCTGGCCAGAATGTCATTGTTCTGAGCTCCTTCAGAGAACAATGGGAGATAACGAGGGATGGTGCTGATAGTCTTTCCATAACCAGGTTACTCAGTATAACGCACTCAAACATAACTCAACACCAATACACATTTAACTCATAAAACTGATCACCATGTCGTCACACTGCTGGTGCCCGGTTCACTTCTAGTCGGTCTAGGGCAGTGATGGCGAATGTTTTTTAACCCGAGTGCCCAAACTGCGACGCAAAATCAATTTATTTATCTCAAAGTGCCAGCGCTGAAAATAAGTTTATTGTATTGCAGTTTGGGCGCTCGGCTTTAAAAAACATTCAACATCACTGCCTTAGGCAAAATAGGGAAACACACATATTCAAACATTTATACAATATACAATATACAATAAAACACACATCACACACTCATTATAAAAAGAAACCACACATACATAGATATCACACACATTAAA